GATGCGGACGAACCAGCGGGTCCAGACAGCTATGGGACACGTCGAGGCTGGCGTGGCCATCGCCATGCCGCAGTCCCTCTTTGACGGCAACGAGGAGGACGACCGGGACAACAACACGGGGCTGGCGCTGGCCGCCTGCTACACCCTTCTCCGATTTACCACGGACGGCACAGGGAACGACCATACGACAGGGGGCGCCTGGTTCAAACCAGCACCGGAAGGTACTACACAGATTCTCTTATACTCTGTTGAGGACTGGAACCGGGCCTACGTGGCCCTGCGGTCCTACATTGACCGGAGAGTGGGGCACCAAGTGTTATTCCCTACCGTGACACCAAAGCTGGCTGTTACGCCGGTGGCATTCCTCCGGATCAGAGACGCCGAGGGCATTATCTCGAGCGAGAAGGGTGCCCGGCTGCACGCAAATGTGCTTGCCAGGCGCAACCTCGACCGGATGTACAAGGATCTTCAAAGACTAACGGCAGCGCAGCTTACCCCCCACTTTGCCGATCTTGGTTATTTGTTGACCCCCCGCCCGACGAGGAAGAGGCCGTGGCCGAGGCCGAGGCCGACGACATCATTGCGGACAACATGGGCAACGAGCTTGCTCTGATGTCCGAGGCTACGAACCTGCTAAAGCACCTGCAGGCACAGCACCGACTGGACGGCACCGTGCCGCGCGATCCGATGGACATGGGCACTCTGGAGGAAGTCCGCCTCGTGGCCCAGGCCATCGCGGACGGACAAGTCCCGGCCGCCGCCGCCGACGACAACGGTGATCGCACGAACTCGGAAGAAACATCGGCCTTCCTGGACGCGCTGAACACCAAGGCCGCCATCTCTGGCACGATCCAGGAGAGCGCGACCGTCCACGACGCCGCCGCCAGCGAGGGCAGAAGTGCTGCTGCTGCAGCGGCCGGCGGGGCCGCCAACGCCCGCGAAAAGCGGGAGGATCTGGCACGCAGCGTGTCGCGGGTGCTAAACGAGAGCGAGTCGGCCGAGGCATGCTCGCTAACAGACGCACTCGCCATGGCCGAGATGCCACCCTTCGACCCGGCCCAACCAGAGCGGCTAAAGGTGGCCGGCCAGAACTCCAGCTTCGTTTTCAAACCCCACCAAGTGGTCGACGCCGGCACACTAGTCCAGCTCTGCAAGACACCAATCCATGGCGGACTGCTGGCGAACGAGACAGGCACGGGCAAGACGGC